CTGTGAGTTCGAGGCCAGCCTGGGCTACCAAGTGAGTCCCAGGAAAGGCGCAAAGCTACACAGAGAAACCCTGTCTCGAAAAACCAAAAAAAAAGACACAGTTGCTCTGGTTTGGGACCCTGACTTTCCTCCTTCCTGGTGCCTGAAAAGTGAGTTGTGTTTTGTTGGGATGGCCACTAGGTGGAGGTGTTGCTCAGCAGCTGAAGACCTGCAAGTTGATGAGCTTTGAGTGGATGCTCATGCTGTTCTTTGCAGTACAGTCTCACTAAACCAAATAGATGCAGAGAATGCTAGACCCAGCCTAGAGCCCCAGTGGATCAGGAAGCAGACCTGAGATCAGTGCTGCCAGCAGCTCCTGCTGCCTAGCCCGTGGAGAGCCTGGTTGCAGGCCTACTCCAGTCTTCCTCCCACACTGTGGCCAACACTGAACTTCCTCATTTGCTACCAGAGGCTGCTTTCTGGGCTCGCAAGATGCTGAGGCCAGCATCAGGCTGTACTTCCTCTCCCGTGTTTGCATAAGCTGGTTTCCTGTCCCACCCCCAGTCCTGAGACTCCCCAGGGCAATCTTACCTCCGCAAGGGTCTCCTGCCACCAAGGTCATTAACCCTGGACAGGCTGGGTTCCTGCTCAGCCAGCACTGAGGGCCTTGCACTTGGAGAAGTTTGCGTCCCAGGGCCAGAGGAGAGCGTGAGCCTGAGGTCACCAGAGCCCTCTAAAGGGACAGTTAGATAAGGGGTCCTGAAGCGGATCACATGGAGGTTTCCTGAGGTAGAGGCTTTGGGGTGGAAACCCTGACTTGTCGCTGTCCGCTTGGGCAGGTCGAAGGCTGGTTGGTTTGGAACAAATCCTATTTTGGGGTAGGAAAGATTGAAAAAGCGTCTCCGCTGGCCACAGGCAGTCCTACTCAGTAGGCTGGAGCTGCAGCCAGTGGAAGCCAAGGAGATGGGGGGAGAGCTTTGTGGTGTCACCCCACCTCTGCTCTTCCCTCACTTCCTGTGGTGACAAAAGCAAGGTCCCGTGGAGCCTTTACGTGCTGGCAGTGTGCTTCCTGTACCCAGCAGCAGCCCGCCCTGGGGAGGGCCTAGCACAGCTTCGGTGATAAGGCTGCCATCGGCTGACCTCTGAAGGAGGCAACTGAGCAGCACAAGGCACCCCAGCCAGGGGTGACAGGCGCTCCACCGCCAGCCACCTGCAGCCGCAATCCCTTGCAGTCCAGGTAAGTGCAAGACCCAGGACGACTCGGCTGTCCCCTGCCCTGCCAGTCTGCTGGGCAGCCACACTTTCTACCACCCCAGAGGCTTGTGTGGGCTAGAGTGAGTGCTGGCTGAGCGCTGTGGGTCAGGGCTTGTTTGTTCTGTGGGATAGGTAGGCTTGGCGGGTCTGTGAGGAGAGTTGGCCCGCTCTGGTGTCCAGCAGGGTGCTCTTGAAGGAGTCTTATTTTTTTTTTTTCCTTGAGGCCGGGTTTCTCTGTATAACAGCTATGACTGTCCTGAAACTCGCTTGTAGCCCAGGCTGGCCTTGAACTCAAAAGAGATCTGCCTGCCTCTGCCTCCCGAGTGCTGGGGTTAAAGATGTGTGCCACTACCGCGGGGCTTGAGGGAGTCTGTTGGGCCTTGGTGTTCTCACCTGAGACCCGAGTTGGCTGGAGAGTTCTAAGGAACTGTCCCTTCAGCCCAAACACATTGACAGTCGAGGGTCTCAGATTGGCTTGATGACAGAAGCCGTCTGTGTCAGCGCCCCCAAGGCCTGCCCTCCTACCAGATCCCAGCGTCTGCTCACCTTGCCTCAGCAGAAGCAGCCACAGCCATGGCGGGGATGAAGACAGCCTCTGGGGACTATATCGACTCGTCCTGGGAGCTGCGGGTGTTTGTGGGCGAGGAGGACCCGGAGGCCCAATCTGTCACCCTCCGAGTCACGGGGGAGTCGCACATTGGTGGGGTGCTTCTGAAGATCGTGGAGGAGATCAGTGAGTCCCCCTGCCCCCCATGTCCCCAGTTTGGCACACAGGCCGTCATGACGGCCATCCCTGCCTGCCATTGATAACCTTGTCACAGTGACTCAGGCAACAGCTTAATTGTTTGGTTCCAAAGAAGATATTTCTTAACATCCTCTCACTTCCTCCCACTCCTGCTGGTTCTGCCCAGTCTTCAAGGGACATACAGAACATGGTCCCTGTACACCTTGCCTGTGCTGAGGTCTCAGTCATGTTCCTGAGGTCTGAAGGATGCCTCGGAGGTTTCTGGGGGGGTCTACTCCCCTACACTTCCTCCCCAGCAAGCCACTTGGCAGGCTGGTAACCGTGGTGGAAGGCCCTGCCCCCACAGGAAGTTATGGTAGAGTAGGCTGGTGCGATATCAGTCACCCAGAGTCACCCAGAAGGCCCCATGGGGGCTTCTCATCAACCTTCCTAGTGGAGAATGAGAGCTATCACTTCCTGGGAAGATGGCAGGAAAGACTCCGATAGCCAGAGCCGGAAAGCATCCCACCATGAGCTCCTGATAGCCTGAGCCAGAAGGCGTTGCACTTATGAGCTTAGGTCCTAGGCCTCTGGGATAGGGAGAGGGATGGGAGGCAGGCTTTCTAGACCCAACCAATCCCCTTTGTACAGTCCAAGACAGGGACCAGAGTGACTGGGTCGGACAAGCCCCAGCACAGCCAAGTAACAGGGCTAAGGCAGGGAAGGGAACTGCCAGAGGCAGGGCCCCAAGAGCCTGTGAAAGCAGAAGTTGGGGAGCAGAGGGGTGGTCCTTCAGAAACCAGATGTCAGACAGAGTTGGAGACTTGACCTGGACCAAGACAGAATAGAAGGCCTTGAGAAGGTGGTGGGTCCCAGGGCACAGCAGGTGAACCCCAAGAGGACTGAACACAGCCAGCTAGACCTTACCTGAACCCCTGCTGGGCTCCTCAGGCCAAATCATGTCGGTTCCAGGACCTCAGTCCCCAGCAATAGGAGCATTATCCCCACCCCTCCCACTGCCAGATGCTGGTGCCAGATGTGAGAGCTTCCTTCAGGGACCTGACACCAGGAAGGACGGTGATTCCAGAGAGGTCTCTAGAATGAGGAAGACCTAGAGCTGATGCCAGGGACTCCAGGAAGCTCTGAGTTAAGGCCTCAGAACAGTAACGACACCTGGTTTGGGACAAAACAGGAAGCCCAGGTGGTGCCCTGACAGCCTGGGAAGGCCCTTTGGCCTCCTGAGGGACTAGGTACTTGCCGTGGAAACGGCATGCCCGCGTTAAGGTGGCCCCATGCTAAAGGGCACCTTTGCAGGGCCCCTTGTCAGCAGGGAGACAGATTGCAGCCGGGGAGACCCAAGCAGGCCATCCAGTCGTCTGTGGGGTCGGGGTCGGGGACATATGAGCGCTCAAGAGGCCAGACAGGGAGGACAGCAAAGGTGGGTTTAGAAGTGAAACTGACATTAACTCAAGGTTGGACTGGAAGTAAAAAGCATGGTGCTTGAGTGTCAGGAAGAGTCCTGGTGGTTGGATGACCTGGGAAGGAAGGGGTCCTCTGTCCAGCCACAGCAGGCTTCAGCATAACCCCTGGAAGGCTGGGGCTGGTCTCCCTGCACTCAGCACTCCAGCACTGGCTATGGAGCCGGCTGAACAGGAGTCTGGGATGAAGGAAGCAATGCAAATGCCCCTTAGAGTAGCGGGCCATGCCATGCAGGGCCCAGCGGAAGCGAGCGAGCAGCTGAAGTCACAGAGCAGAGAGATACCCAACCCCCAGAAGAGGGTGTGACTGAAGAGAGGGAGGTTCCAGGCTAAACCCTGGGAAAAGACAGGTGAGGAGTAGGTGGGGAGAGCCTCCTGAAGAGCACAAAGCCACAGCAAAGGCTGCTGGGTATGGAGGCAGTCCCAGCCCTAGTGAATCGACAGCCTACATAACCAAACCCTGCCTCAAGTTTAAAAGCAAAAGGCCAACGGGAGAGGAAGTGGGGGCAGAGTGAGGGCCTCAGGACGGGGGCTCAGAGTCCTGAGGAGCTGGGCGGAGAAGCTTCTCCAGTGTTTGGCGGCACTGGTGGCACTGGGGAGACAGGTCAGGAGCTGGCAGGAGTCCAGGGTGGGGACAGGGATCAAAACCCAGTGGGAGGACCAGAGAGAGAGGCCTAGAATCTTAGCAGGTAGAGCGCTTGCCCAGCAGGCGCAAAGCCCTGGGTGTGACCCTCAGCACGGCATCAACGAGGCATATACCTGCAATGCTAGCATTGGCCATTGGAGGCAGGAGGATGAGTGGACCAGGGTTGGCCTCAGCTATGCAGTTCAAAACCCTGTCTGCAAACCCCAACCAACAGCATGCCGGGTCTCAGCAAAACCCAGGAGGCTGTGTGCTCAGCAGCTTTTGCCCCATTTATTTCTGTATTCACGCTTCTTGGGGGGGGGGGGGGGGCGGGGAATAAGGCATCCTCCTGTGTCATCCATTGTTGTCACCCAATTCCTGGTCAGATGACAAATGACATTTGCATTTCCAAATGAGCGCTTCTCTTTAAGTGTCAAAATTGCACAACACTTTGTAATGTCACAGCCATTGGTCAGCAGCCATGAGTCAGGATGATTGTTACATCTTAACTAGAGAACTGAGCTGGAGAGGTGAAACACTGTGAGCAAGGGGGCAGCTAGTGACGGAGATTATCAGCCCTGGAGACTGCAGATGTTGCCAGTGGTGGGTGTGGTGGTGCATGCCCTTAATCCCAGCACTCAGGAGGCAGAGGCATGCAGATCTCTGAGTCAGCCTGGTCTAGAGTGAGTTCCAAGACAGTCAAGGCTACACAGAGAAACTCTGCCTCAAAAAAAACCAAAATCAAAACAACAACAAAAATAATAGAAAAGGCATTGAACCAAGCATCCCAGAATACACATGGGCTGTAAGGAGTCAACTCAATAAAGTATGAGGTGAGGCCATTGAGATTGAGGTACCCACATTCCTGGTTGGGGGACTCCCCTCAGAAGTGATGTAACAACTGAACCCAGAAGGACCAGCAGGAGTCAGCTACCAAACATCCCATCATCACTTTAGAGCCAGCCCAATCTGGCTCACCTGTGGCATCAGTGCTGGGCCAGAAATGAAGAAAGCTTGGCAGGGCCTTTGAAGGCCAATGGATACCCCTGGGTCCTCACAGATCGCAAGCAGGACTGGTCTGACCATGCCATTTGGTGGGAGCAGAAGAGACAGTGGCTGCTACAGACACACTGGACACTGGACAAGTATGGGATCCTGGCAGATGCCCGCCTCTTCTTTGGGCCACAGCACCGACCCGTCATCCTGCGACTACCCAACCGTCGAGTGCTGCGTCTGCGTGCCAGCTTCTCCAAGCCCCTCTTCCAGGCTGTGGCTGCCATCTGCCGCCTGCTCAGTGAGTAGCTGTGGCCTCTTCCCCTTCCCGGGCCAAGCCACATAAGCTTGTTCTGGCCATCGCCTCTCCGCAGCCTATCAAAGGGTGTGACTTCCCCGGGGTGTCTGTGTGGAAAGGTACGGAGGTGACCTAGCAGACCCTTGGTGCTGAGGCCTTACTCCCTTCAGGTATCAGGCACCCTGAGGAGCTGTCTCTGCTTCGAGCTCCAGAAAAGAAGGAGAAGAAGAAGAAGGAGAAGGAGCCTGAGGAAGAGGTGCATGACCTGACCAAGGTTGTCCTAGCTGGGGGTGAGTGAGCATGGCCAACCCCGGGCTGGGGTCAGGACAGAGACTGGCCTGGGAGGCCAGAACTGGAGCCGGGCCTGACTGACTCCCACCGACACGACACTGCAGGTGTGGCACCCACCTTATTCCGAGGCATGCCAGCACACTTCTCGGACAGTCCCCAGACTGAGGCTTGTTACCACATGCTGAGCCGGCCACAGCCGCCACCTGATCCTCTCCTGCTCCAGCGCCTGCCGAGGCCCAGCTCCCTGTCTGACAAGACTCAGCTCCACAGCAGGTGTATGACCCGCAGCCAGGCCACACTGCCCAGGGCCTAGCTCACCTACCCTCTCCTTCCTGCTTTCAGGCCCGTCCTCTCTGTGCCCTGACTCTGCCTCTGTCATACCCAGGTGGCTGGACTCATCACGGTGCCTCATGCAGCAAGGTATCAAGGCCGGGGATGTGCTTTGGCTGAGATTTAAGTACTACAGCTTCTTCGACCTGGATCCCAAGGTGAGCTGCGCTCTGGAATCAGAGGGTCCAACCCTGGGGATCCGTTTGTCTGACCGTTTGCTCATCTGTATCTCTGTGTGCCGATCCTTCCAGTGCACCTCGGGGCCTCCAATGATAAGGCAGATGGAGACAAGTCTCAGTGCTGGTTTCTTTAGGACCTGCCTGCGGGGGGGAGGGGGTGTCAATGGCAGAGACCCATGTAGACAGTGGTGGGTTCTGGGGAATGTGGGTCTCGAATGGGGAGGTTCTGAGCTGGGCACAGGGAGGCCACTTGGACCAGCAAGGCCTGGGAGGTGGGGTAGGAGCTTTGCAGGGTGGCCTCAGTGTACCCCATTCTTAGCCCTCCAATGCCTGAATTCTCCTCTGCAACAATGTTGGTAACCCTCTGTCTCCACAAACTTCCTGGGGCCCTACACGCTCCTCTTCCTACCTGTGGCCTTCATTGAAAACATACAAATAGTGGTCTACAGAGCACTTGGTTTCAAGCTGTGGCAGAGTCCCTCAATGTTCTCTTCTGAGCCAAACTGTCCTGGTGCTTCTACCCACATCTACACACAGAACGACACCTGCTGCCCTCCGTGCAGCCAGTCCCATGGTTCCATCCCACCTACATACTTTGTTTTTGTTTTTCGAGACAGGGTTTCTCTGTGTAGCTTTGGAGGCTGTCCTGGAGCTCACTCTGAAGACCAGGCTGGCCTCGAACTCACAGAGATCCGCCTGGCTCTGCCTCCTGAGTGCTGGGATTAAAGGTGTGCGCCAATGCCACCCAGCTACTTTTTTTTTTTTTTTAATAAGGATTAGACCTGTTTCCCCCCCCCCCCCAAATGCTAGACAAATGCTCAACTACTGAGTGCTCCCCCAGGCCCTTCCGGACTAGTTTAATATTATTTTGTGTACAGGTGTTTTCTCTGCCTGGATGTCTGTACAACATGTGTGCCTGGTATCAACAGAGACCAGAAGAGGGTGTCAGATCCCCTGGAACTGGAGCTACAGAGAGTTGTGAGCCACCCTGTGGGTGCTGGAAACTGAACCTGGGTGCTCTGGAAGAGCAGTCAGTCATCTTAACTGCTGAGCTGTCTCTCCAGCCCCGAACTTTTATTATTTATTTATTTTTAATTTGAGGTAGGGTCTTGCTAAGTTATCTAAGTTGTGGAACCTGGCCTTGAATCTGTAGCCCAGGAAGGCCTTGAATTTTCAGTCTCCCTGCCTCAGCACCTGCGGTGACTAGGATCACAGGCCTGCATCTTGCTTGCTCATTACAGCATGGACATAGCCAATGCCTCTTCCTCTGGAATCATCTTTCTCTCACAGCTTCTGCGTCCCATGAGCTAAGGGGGTCTCTCTCTCTCTCTCTCTCTCTCTCTCTCTCTCTCTCTCTCTCTCTTCTTGTAGCTGTTCCCAAGCTCTGTGGCTTCTGTCTCTCCTCTTCCTAGCCGCCCCGTGTGTGCACCTGAGGTCAGAGGTCATTGTCAGGGGTCTTCTGTCACTGTCTCTCACAGAACCTGGAACTCACTGATTCAGCTAGCCTGGCTAGCTAGCAAAGCCCACGGTTCTGCCTGTCTCCGCCTGAGTGGGGGATTGGAGGCTGTTTCTATAGGTGCTGGGATACGAACTCGGGTCCTTTGCTTGCACAGCTATTCTGCAACTGAGCCATCTCCTCCCAGCCCCTTCTTTTTGAAACCATATTTATCTATTTTGTGTGTGTGTGTGTGTGTGTATGTGTGTGTGAGAGAGAGACAGAGACAGAGACAGACAGCGTGCGTGCGTGCGTGCGTGCGTGCGTGCGTGCGTGCGTGCGTGCGTGCGTGTGTGTGTGTGTGTGTGTGTGTGTGTTCCTGTGTGCCACAGTGTATGTGTGGAGATCGGGAGGTCAGGGGACAACTTGCAGAAGTTGGTTCTCTCCTTCCACCATGTGAATCCCGGGGTTCAAACTCAGGTGGTCAGGTTTGGCAACAAGTGCCTTCACCCACTGAGAGATCTTGCTGGTCTTTTTAAAAAATTGAATTTTAGCCAGACAGTGGTGGCACACGCCTTTAATCCCAGAACTCAGGAAGCAGAGGCAGGTGGATCTCTGTGAGTTCGAGGCCAGGCCTGGTTGAGGTCAAGTTCCAGGGCAGCCAGGGCTACACAGAGAAACCCTGTCTCAAAAAGTAAAACACAAAACAAAAACAAATTGCATTTTATTAACTCATTTATATGACTAGTAAGTCTTTATGGAGTACATTGTAGTAATCCAGTACATGTAATAAAATGTATAAATTCAAACCCGGGGACTAGGTATCCTGAGTAGTTAAGATTTATTTTTACTTTATGTCTTACTGTCTTGCCTGCATATGTGTCTGTCACCATGTGTGTGCTTGGCGCACACAGAGTCCAGAGACGGACACTGGATTTCCTGGAACTGGAGTTAGAGACGGTTGTGAGCTGCCATGTGGGTCTCTCCAGCCCCATGTATCTTAGACTGTTTTACGAAGCGTTACTCTACTACCGGGAAGGACAGAAATAGTTCCTTCTCTCTGGTTTTTGGTTTCTGCCTTCTTTAGAAAGGAATATATTTTTTAAATTTTTTATTATTTACATATTTTAGATTTACTTATTTGTGTGTGTGTGTGTGTGTGTGTGTGTGTGTGTGTGTGTGTGTGTGTGTGTGTGCGCTCATGAAAGCGCGCATGTGCATGAGGGCTAGTGTGCACACGCCGATACAAGCATGAGGAAGTCGAAGGACAACTTCTGGGAGTCAGTTTTCGCCTTCCACCTGAAGCAAGGTCTCTTGTTTCCGTTTACAGCTGGAGACTGTACTCCAGGCTTGCTGGTCCTCAGGCTTCCAGGCCATTCTCTTGTCTAGTCTTCCATCTGCCTATAGGAGTGTTGACGTTGCAGAATGGGTCACCACAGACAGCTTTTCCACGTGGGTTCTGAGTATCAGACCTGGGGCACCAGGCTTGTGTGGCTACACTTTTAACCAGTAAGCCATTTCCTAAACCCATATTTATGTGTCACTTTGGCTGGGAAGTAGTGGTGGCACATGTCTTTAATCCCAGCACTTGGGAGGCAGAGACAAGCAGATCTCTGTGAGTTTGAGACCAGCCTGGTCTACAGAGGAAGTTCAAGTTACACAGAGAAACCCTGTCTCAAAAAACCCGAAAAAAGAAAAGAGTGTCCCTTTGTAGCTCGGGGGCAACTCTGCTGTCTGAGTGCTCAGATTAGGGTTATTGAAAAATAGTTCTTCCTTTGTCTTGGTTTTGTCCCTGAGCTGAGGTAAAATACCCTGCCAAAAGCTACTCAGAAAAGGAGCAGTTCAGGGGTTAAGAGCACTGACTGTCCTTCCAGAGGTCCTGAGTTCAATTCCCAGCAACCACGTAATGGCTCACAACCATCTGTAAAGAGATCTGGCGCAGTTCATAGCTCAAGTACAGTACATCCAGACAGGGGAGTCAAGGAAGGCTGGAAGCAGCTGGTCACGTGACACCCACAGGAAGAGGAGAGCCTGCCTGCTGATGCTCAGTTCCCTTTCTCCATTTACAAAATCTAGGCTCTCTGGGAGGTGGCGCACTCCTTTAATCCCAGCACTGGGGAGGCAGAGGCAGGCAGGTATCTGTGAGTTTGAGGCCAGCCTGGGCTACAAAGCAAGTTCCAGGACAGGCTCCAAAGCTACACAGAGCAACCCTGTCTTGAAAAGCCAAAAAAAAAAAAAAAAAAAAATCTAGGCTCTCCTGCCCAGGGCGTGGCTCCCCACCCTGATATGGGTGGGTCTCCGCACATCACTGAACATAAAATAATCCCCACACACATGCCCAGAGGTGCTTCTAGGATAGTCATTTTGACAGCACTGACCTGCCACAGTATTATACAATCTTGTTTCCAGGCCTGAGGATGTAGCCCAGAGGTGGAGTACCTGTCTAGCCTGTGCAAGATCCTGGGGTAATCCACAGCCTTGCAAACAGATAAAACGCAAAAATCCTTACTTGGGGATGGAGTTGAGGTCCTGGGAAACCAGCCTGACCCTTCCTAGTTCACTATTAACCTCAGTAAGGCCCAGCTACAGCTGCAGTACCGAGTGCTGACTAGTCTCTGACTGAGGCAACACCCCGCTTCCTCCCACCCTCCTGTGAGTTCTGTCTTCTCCTTTACTCCTTCCCAGCCTCTGCTAGCCTCCAGCTCCATCTCCTACTGCCTCCAAGTGACTTGGATGCTCCTGATTCTCAGGCGGCTCTGTGCAGTTCACCCACCACACCCCACCCCCACCCCGCCCCCGGCACTGGACTGCAGTTACTCCATCCCCACACTTCTTGGCACTGGCAGCAAAACCGTTCTCTACCCCACTCTATCCTCCAGGAAAGGTAGATTTGAACAATGTAGGTTTGGGGTCTTTTTTTGGTTTTGGTTTTTCTGAGACAGGGTTTCTCTGTAGCTTTGGAGCTCACTCTGTAGACCAGGCTAGCCTCGAACTCACAGAAATCTGCTTGTCTCTGCCTCCCGGATGCTGGGTGGGATTAAAGGCATGCGCCACCACTCCCTGCCAAACAATGTAGGTTTTTATTTAATGTTTACTTTCTTTTTTATTTGTTTGTTTGATTTGTATTTCATGTGCATTGATGTTTTGCCTGCGTGTATGTCTATGTGGGGGATGTTGGGTCACCTGGAGAGTCTCACTTTGTTACTCAGGCTAGTCTTGAACTTAGGCCAAAGCCAAGTGTCCTGGCTGGGACTTCTGTGTCTGCTCCTGAGCCCAGAGCCCTGTTCTGTGACCTAGCAGTTTTGTTCACAGCTATAGGTTATCAGAAGATGAAGACTTCGCTCTCCTGCCCTCCCCATCTCCCCTTCCACACAGCACACACATTTCTGTGAGTCTTACTAATCTACTGGTGTTTATGGTGTTTGGTGAAAACAACGTCGCCATGACTACAAATAGTAACATATAAACAGTGATCTTAGCAGAACCCAGAATAGCTGTGCTCCTATTTCCTTTCATGGTCAGGTCTTTGGAGCTGAGAGGTGACATGTATGGTGTCATGGGTTGAACCCAGGGCCTGCAGGGCTGGGCTCCTCCACCACTGAGCTCTACCTACCCAAAGTTTCTGTCCATAATGATGAGAGGGGCTGCAAAGGACTGGCTGGGCATTCCCCACACACTGTGACTTGCACAGGGCCGTTTAACCCAGCCCCTCCACATGGTACCCAACACAGTACTACCACTTTCAGAGCAGGTGAGTAAAACCAGGCCTGGTGGTGTGTAATCCCAGGAACTTGGGAGGCTGAAGCAGGAGGGTGGACAGTTCAGGCCTACCCTCGCTGCATGGTGAATTCAAGGTCAGCTTGGGCAACGTGTGAGACCCAGTCTCAAACTAACAAGCAATGGTAATAATAATAATTACGCACGCACGCACGCACGCAGGCACGCATGCACACACGCATGTAGGCAGAAGTTTCCCATCCTGACTGCCTAGTCCCAAATAACCACTGAGGCTTATATTAATTGTAAATGCTCAGTCAACAGCTCAGGCTTGCTATTACCTAACTCTTACATTGAAATTAACCCATATTTCTTATCTGTGTTTTGCCACATGGCTTAAGGCTTGTTACCTCATTTTTCTTTCTTTCTTTCTTTCTTTCTTTCTTTCTTTCTTTCTTTCTTTCTTTCTTTCTTTCTTTCTTTTTTTTTTTTTTTTTGTTTGTTTTTTGAAGACAGGGTTTCTTCTCTGTGTAGCTTTGGAGCCTGTCCTGAAACTTGCTCTGTAGACAAGGCTGGCCTTGAATTCACAGAGATCCACCTGCCCATGCCTCCTGAGAGCTGGGAATAAAGATATACACCACCACCGAAGGGGTTACCTCATTTTCTATACGTCCTGCTTCCTTGGCATCTGGCTGGCTGGCATCTCCTCTTACTCCACCCTTCCTCATCCCATCATTCTCAGTTTGGCTTTCCCGCCTAACTTTATCCTGCTCAGCTATTGGCCAGTCAGCTTGTTTATTAAACCAATCATAGTGACATATACTCACACAGTATCCAGAAGGATTATTCCACAGTGCATGTACACACACACACACACACACACACATATCTTAGTAGGGTCAAACTATTTTTTTCAATATTCGGGGAAATGGGGGCTGAAGAGGCATCAAGAAGGCTAGGTTGAAAGCCGGGTGGTGGTGGCGCAGGCCTTTAATCCCAGCACTCGGGAGGCAGAGCCAGGCGGATCTCTGTGAGTTCGAGGCCAGCCTGGGCTACCAAGTGAGTTCCAGGAAAGGCGCAAAGCTACACAGAGAAACCCTGTCTCGAAAAACGAAAAAAAAAAAAAAAAAAAAAAAAAAAAAAAAAAAAAAAAAAGGCTAGGTTGAGAGCTCCAGGTCCTGGCCTGGTAAGAGCTCCCTTGCTTAATTATGTCCCCTGTACTTAAATTTACCTCTAGTGCACATATACACATTCTCTCTCTCTCTCTCTCTCTCTCTCTCTTTCGTGTGTGTGTGTGTGTGTGTGTGTGTGTGTGTGTGTGTGTGTGTGTGTGTCTGTGTGTAAGGGGGGAATCTCACTTTGTAGTTCTGGCTAGTCTGTAACTTGTATAGACTACACTAACTTTGAACTCACAGAAATCCTCCTGCCTCTGCCTCCTGAGTTTGAGTGCTAGGATTAAAGGAGTATAGCACCGCGTGGTATGACAAGCATTTAATCCCAGCACTCGGGAGGCAGAGACAGGAGGATCTCTGTGAGTTCCAGGCCAGCCTGGTCTACACAGTGAGTTCCAGGCCAGTCAGGGCTATGTAGAGAGATCTTGTCTCAAAAATAACAACAAAAGGATATGGTCTCACTTTGTATTTGTATTCTGGGCTGTTCTAGAATTTACTATGTAAGGCTGGGTGGTGATGGTGCATACTTTTAGTCCCAGCACCAGGGAGGTAGAGGCAGGCAGATCTATAGAGTGAGTTCAGGACAGCCAGGGCTACACAGAGAAACCCTGTCTCCAAACAGAATCCACTGTACAGCTCAGACTTGTCTGAAACTTGTGGTAATCCTCTTGCCTCAACCTCCCAAATTGTGAGATTACAGAGATGAGCCACCACACCCAACTAGATCTAATCCCCCCACCACAATATTATCAGTCTCTGGTTGGTTGGATCAGGATTTGGAGCCCACAGATCTGAGGCTGGATGTGCATTTTGGGACACTGTGTGCACAGATTTCAGAGGTGGAAGAGGTGGGACTCAGAGCATGCAGGGTCACCTCGAGTAGGACCTCCCCCATTAGCAGCAAGTGACAGTTAGTTACAGTGCCTCCGTTGCACTTGGCACTTGCTACTTAACATAACGAGACCACTATGCCAAAAGACTGTCCCCCAGCATCACTGAGATGTAACTGACACGCGCAAGCACCGCCCATCCTGAGCAGTTTACTTTTGGTCATTGTGTGTGGTTGTACAACCGCTGCCACATCCAGTTTTCCATTTATTTGTTTATTTGCATGTATATCTGTGTGAGGATGTCCGAAACCCTAGAACTGTCTAGAACTGGAGTTATAGACAGGTGTGAGCTGCCATACGGGTGCTGAGAATTGAACCTGGGTCCTCTGGAAAAGCAGCCAGTGTGCTCTTAACTGCTGAGCCAGCTCTCCAGCCCCACCATATCCAGTTTTAAAACATTGTTGCTGTTCCAGAAAATTCTCTAGTGCCTATTTTCAGTTTTTTTGCCTCCAACACTCACCCCAGTGACTAGTAGATCTGGCTGGCCTTTAGCTGCTCGCCGCTTGGATCGCCTCTCCAGTGCCAATTCTGCTCATGTTTTTGGCAGTTCCTATACTGAGCTGTGTCTGTACTGAGTATCTGTCAGAGGGATAGCCCCTGAATCGACTCTCCACTCTAGGCTTTGCCTTTGATTCTTTCTCTCAATGGTTTGATAAACCATTCTGTTCTGCCAGTGTATCTTTTTGTGTGTGACAGTCATATGCACCTCAGGTTGACCTCAGTCACAGGCAGTCTTGAACTCCTGACCCTCCTGTTTCCCTCCAAAGTGCTGGATTGTGAGCAATCACCACTAAGCTCAGTCTCAAGTAGCACTGGGGATCGAACCCGGGGCTTTGCTCATTCAAGGCTGCCCCTCCTCTCTTTGCCTTTTGGATGCCATTGCTCTCAGCCCTGTGGGCCATAGAGTGTGCACTTCCACGGTGTCTGGGAGGCCCTCCCTGCTCCTTGACCCTAGACTCCCTTCACCCATTCTTCCCTTCAGTGGTCCCTTGTCACCCTGCAGGCCTCCGCCCTGTAGGTCACTTCCTCAGGGAAGCCTTCCTGGAGTGCTTTCCCGTGGCCTGTACTCTCCTGAGAGATGAGTTGAAGGAGCTACCCCAGGGGAAGCCGTCTGTCTGTCTTTTTTTCTTTCTTTCTTTTCCTTTCTTTTTTTTTCTTTCTTTCTTTCTTTTTTTTGTTTTTTGTTTTTGTTTTTTGAGACAGGGATTCTCTCTGTAGCTTCAGAGCTTATCCTGGAACTTGCTCTGTAGACCAGAGCTTGAACTCACAGAGATCTACCTGGCTCTGCCTCCCGAGTGAGTGCTGTGATTAAAGGCGTGCGCCACCACCGCCTGACTAGCTGTCTTTTTTCTATTCTGGGAGCACTGCATTCAGGGGCTGTCTTCCTCCTCTCTTGCCTATCCTCAGCAGGAGGCTGGCCTGTGGCCTGTGGCCTGGGCCTGTGGCCCGGTAGAGCAGAAGTGTGTGGAGAAAGCTGCTCTGTCTGCCTAGGCGGGGGCAGGCCAGCAGGGTAGGGATGGGGTCCGCTGCTCAAGCTGGCCGAGCCTGAGTGTCCAGGACAGGCGCCTTCTGACTAGCTCCCCGACCCCTGATGCTCCAGACAGACCCAGTACGGCTGACCCAGCTGTATGAGCAAGCCCGCTGGGACTTGCTGACAGAGGAAATCGACTGCACCGAGGAGGAGATGATGGTGTTCGCCGCCTTGCAGGTGCCTGGGGCTCTGGGGGTGCTGGGGTACAAGGTCAAAAGGCCTTCCAGAAAGGAGTCCATCTCCAAAGAAGTCCAGCGTGGGGGGGTGTGGGGCCGATGGGCCTCAGTCAGACTCAGCTCTAACTGACTATGTGTCCCCTAGTATCACATCAACAAATTGTCCCTGAGTGGGGATGTGGGTGAGCCAGCCTCTGGGGACCTGGGATTGGATGACCTGGATGCAGCCCTGAACAACCTCGAGGTGAAGCTGAAGGGGTCGGCACCCTCAGACATGCTGGTGAGGAGGGACTTGGGCCTGGGAATGAATGGGGTTGGAGTGAGGGTCAGGCAGGGCACCCAAGGTTCCCTCTACTTCTCCCTTCCTCCAGGATAGTCTCACCACCATCCCAGAGCTCAAGGACCACCTCCGAATCTTCAGGTTAAGTGTGGGGCCTGCTTGGAGAGAGGGGAGGAGGGGGAAGGCAGGGAGGCCATGGTTCACAAGCTTCCTACTCCCTCCAGGCCCCGGAAGTTGACCCTGAAGGGCTACCGCCAGCACTGGGTGGTATTCAAGGACACCACCCTGTCCTACTATAAGAGCCAGGATGAAGCACCAGGGGACCCTATCCAGCAGCTGAACCTCAAGGGTGAGGGAGGTGCCAGTAGTAACTGCTCTCAGCCTGTTTCCTCTTGGGGACCTGGGTGGATACCATCTGCCCTGAGGCAGCTGTGGGTGGGTGGGCTGACTTTCACACAGGGACCTCTTAGCCACCTCCTTCTTGCAGGCTGCGAGGTGGTCCCTGATGTCAATGTCTCTGGCCAGAAGTTCTGCATCAAACTCCTGGTGCCCTCACCAGAGGGCATGAGTGAGATCTACCTGCGCTGCCAGGATGTGAGCAGGCTGGGCCGCAGGGGGAACGGGAGTGGCCGGGCCAGGGGACAGGGTTGGGATGGCATTCAGGGTGAGAGTGAACGTGCCCAGGTCTTACTCACCGCCCTCTCTGTCTGTCCTTGCTCCAGGACCAGCAGTACGCACAGTGGATGGCTGCCTGCCGCCTGGCCTCCAAGGGCCGCACCATGGCCGACAGTAGCTATGCCAGTGAGGTGCAGGCCATTCTGGCCTTCCTCAGCCTGCAGCGGGCAGGTGGTGGCAGCGGCGGCGGCTCAGGGAACCACATCCAGGGCCCTGAAGCCTCTGCCGAGGGCCTTAACCCCTACGGCCTCGTGGCTCCCCGTTTCCAGCGAAAGTTCAAGGCCAAGCAGGTGCCAGAGGAAGTGTGGGGGTGGGAACCACCATAGCGTTTACCTAGCCACCCTTGAAGACCCCTGGACCTCCAACCCTCTTCCTTAGAAAACCCCGTACCCACTTCTTCCTTCTGCCATGTCCTCTCTGGAAGGGCTCCAGGACTATCCCAGGGCCTGACTCAGCCACATGTACACCTTGGTGGTACCACAATGGCTGCTTTCCCTTCAGTGTCCTGTGCAGGGCAGGCGGGTGGGGTGGGGTGGCAGGGATCTTAGGGACTTTAGATAAGGGGAGGCCCTAAGAGTCCCTTCCCCATATGGAACCGCAGCTCACCCCCCGGATCCTGGAAGCTCACCAGAATGTGGCCCAGCTCTCGCTGATCGAGGCCCAGCTGCGTTTCATCCAGGCCTGGCAGTCCTTGCCTGACTTTGGCATCTCCTACATGATGGTCAGGTATGACGCCAGCCCTGCAAAGCCCTGCCTCTGCCCTCACTTGCTGCCAGCTGCTGGGTGCGCACATCCCAGATGGGTCCCAGGCACACAACCCAGTGCCTCTCCTCCCCGGCTCTCTGTGGGTACCACTCCCTGGGGGTTCTGTGTGTTCCCCAGCGAGACAGAGCTCACACCAGGCAAATCAAAGATCTTTTCCCAGCTCTGTCGTAGATGCTCCCCTCTCTGGGCCTTGGCCCGCTGTCCCTGTGTTATAGGGAGGACCCTGAGAACTCAGTTCCCAAGTCTGCAGAGAAGTGAATGACATGTGGTTGATGATGATACAAGATCATTCCTTAGAGGGATGAACTATTTTCTAACGTTGGCAAATGCTGTTAGGATGCCCCACCTTGTATGCCTTTGTTGATGTAGGGTAGGTAACTCAGGTGTTGTTCCTCAGGGGCTGCCCATCTTGTTTTTCTTTATTTTTTACTTTTTTTTTTTTTTTTTTTTTTTTTTGTGAGAGGGGCGTTGATTTTTCAAGACAGGGTTTCTCTATGTAGTCCTGGCTGTCCTGAAACTCGCTCTGTAAACCAGGCTGGCCTTAAACTCAGAGATCCTGCCTCTGCTCCCTGAGTATTTTACATTTTTTTGGAGGGGAAGGAGGGTTCAAGATAGGGTTTCTTTTTTTTTTTTTCTTTTAAATTTTTGTTCATTGGTGTTTTGCCATGTGCTATGGTGAGTGTGTCCGATCTCTGGAACTAAAATTACAGATAGTTGTGAACTGCCATGTGGATGCTGGGATTTAAACCTGGGTCCTCTGGAAGAGCAGCCAGTGCTCTTAACCGCTGAGCCATCTCTCCAGCCCCGAGTATTTTACATATTTTAAGATTTATTTTGCCAGACAGTGGTGGTGCACACCTTTAATCCCAGCACTCAGGAGGCAGAGAGGCAGGTGGATCTCTGTGGTTTCCAGGCCAGCCTGGTCTCCAGAGCCAGTTCCAGGACATCCAGGGCTACACAGAGAAACCCTGGCTCAAAAAACTGAAAAAGAAAAAAGATTGTTTTTCATGTATGAGTTTTTTGCCTGCATATAGTGCCCAGTGCCCACAGAGGCCAGAAGAGGCACCAGATCCCCTGGAACTGGAGTTAAGAGCCCCCATTGAGGGTACTGGGAACCAAACCTGGGTCTTCTGTAAGCACTGTAAGTGTTCATAACAGCTGAGCCATTTCTCCAGCCCCTGTCTTACATTTTCAACTTATTTATTTTGTGCATGTGCACATGTGGAGACCAGAACAACCTACGGGAACCTGGTTCTCTCCTTCCACCACATTGGTCCTGGGGATAAACTCCGGCCATCAGACTTGAGGGTGACTCTCACTGGTCCTATTTTTTCTTAATGTTTTTATTTTAAATCTGTCTGTGTGTGCGCGTGCGCGCACATGCTGTGGCAGTTATGTGGGGTCAGAAGATAGCCTCTAGGTCAGTCTTTACCTTCCACCTCGAGACAAGAGTTCTTACTCATCACTGTGTGTTCCAGGTTAGCTGGCTGCAGACTGTCCAGAGATTCTCCCGTCTCTGCCTCCCAGCTTGCCACAGGCACATTGCAGACATATTAGATTCACACATGTGTGGCAAGAGCTCTTTGCACTGAGCAATCTCTCCCAGCCTGCCTATCTTGTCCCAGGGACCATAGGCATGCACTGCAGTCCTGGGGATCAACCTCAGGCCTTCCTACTTGCAAGGCAGATACTCGATTGACTGAAGCATCTTCTCAGTTCCTGCCCCCCCCCACCCCGCCCCTTGGTTTTTGAGACAGAGTGTCATTCACCATGTATCAAGTCTGACGTGAATTCCAGTCTCAGCCCCTTGGCTGGGATGACAGACGCACTGCACCAATGCCTGGCTAGCATCAGTCCATGAGTAATCCCATTTTTCAGAGTGGGATCTTAAGGCTAGGAGAAACCGATTGGCTGCCTCAGGCTGAACAGCTGCAGAGCTGCAGAGCTGGGGCAGGTGAGGCTGTGCCCCACCCTGAGGGCTCTGGAGCCGTGTCCACACAGGGCAGGCTCCAGGGCCACACACGGTGTAGCTCTCGCTCATGTTTCCCCCCTGGGAATTAGGTTCAAGGGCAGCAGGAAAGATGAGATCCTGGGCATTGCCAACAACCGACTGATCCGCATTGACCTGGCCGTGGGCGATGTGGTCAAGACCTGGCGCTTCAGCAACATGCGTCAGTGGAATGTCAACTGGGACATACGACAGGTGGGTCCCGAGGGAGGGCAGGGACCGGGACAAGTGGCCAGCTCAGACCCAACCAGGGCAAGGCAGGAGCTCCTGCTTGTTGCCTGAGCCCACTGGACCTGTGACCACCCGCCTGCAGGTGGCCATTGAATTTGATGAGCACATCAACGTGGCCTTCAGCTGTGTGTCTGCCAGCTGCCGCATCGTCCATGAGTACATCGGGGGCTACATTTTCCTGTCCACTCGAGAGCGGGCTCGTGGGGAGGAGCTCGACGAGGATCTGTTCCTGCAGCTTACAGGCGGCCACGAGGCCTTCTGAGGGCAGCCAGGCTGCCCTTGCTCCACTCACCACCTCCAGGGAGCCTGGCCAGCCCACGCCTACCTGAACTCACAGCTCCACCACACCCAGCATGCACCGGGCTGGACACTCTCACCTGCTGTCACAGGCAGGCCAGGGCCCTGGCCGGGGTAGACACTGCACCACCCAGCCTAGGGATGGAAGGCCCCGAGCCACACACAGCCCCTCCTCTTGCCCTCTTGGCAGCTCACATCCCTGGCCTATATGTAGTCCCCGAGCACATAAGGATGACAGATATGGATAAGGAACAGAGAATCCTGCTTTCAAACTGGACTTTCTTCCCGTGACAGTTTTCAGAGTTGTTGGGTTTTTGTTTTTTTAATAATAAATACATATTTTATTGTTGGATCTTTCTTCTTCCTCCTCTGGAGCTGTGCCTGGCGCCACTCTGATACTCCGCCTCTTTATCACCAGCCAAGGAGAGAGGCTTTCCTGAGGTAGAGACAAGAGTTGCTAAGAGAAAGGCATGTCTAAGTCAGCCTACAGCGGGGAACTTTCAAAGAGCCTGAGGCAGAAGGGCACATGCTTCGGGACACAGGGCAGTGATGGTTTGATTCTCACGGGTGGGTCGCAGCTGCAGGGCCTCCTTGAAGTACTTGGGAAGCAGGAAGCCTTCAGTGTTCCCTGGAGTCAGGATCACCCCGTTGGCAGAGCGGTAGAAGGGGATTCCATCTGCTCAGGGAGCTAGAGATGTGACTGGTGCTCCTCTATGACAGACCTGCGAGAGTCCCTGGAGGGTCCGCACTTACCTGCCAGAGCTAGGGGTCCATCGATGAACACCGCCACGTCACAATTTGGACGCATGCCTGCGGGGACAACTGGACTAGGGCCAGGGGTCCCTGGGCAGAATGGGGCTCTGTGGTGGGATGGGGAGGTACTGCTCCATGCAAGTCTGTGTGGGGATCTCACACAAACGACGCTGTGACCCTTGGGGGGTGGGAGCCTGGGAGGACAGAATAGGTGAAAGGTGATACTGACCACTGGTGACACCAGGGTCGCCAGGCAATCCTGAGGCCAAGTGGATGTGCGCCCTTCCTTGGCGTGACAAGCCCTTCAGTAGAATAGATGGCCAATGCTTCCAGAATGTACCATGCACTAGCATCAAAGGCAGGGCTTGTGGTGTCTCCAGGGGCATCAGCTCCAACTCAGGTACCTAGGAATGAGTGTGTGAACGGGCAGCAGTGAGACCTCCCTCCTGAACTGGGGTCCCACCTGGCTCTCCCTCCCTCTCACATGCCCCCTGGTACCCACTTGTAGGGAGTGGCCCTGATTGGCCCTGATGAGAGGGCCAGTGCTGGGCTCGCCTGGCCGCAGGGCAAACCGCTGCTTTCCGTTGTTATCCACCACACGCTGCACATCCTCGACGGAGAAGCTGTGGAACTCGGGCAGCCGCAGGAGAGCTTGCAGGGGTACAAAGCCATCTGCGGGCAGCCAGGCGGGGGTGTGCTCAGGGGCCGGGGCTATGCTTAATGGGGGAGCCACAGGCAGCTGGAACAAAGGCTAGGCCTGGGAGGGCACAGGAGCGTTCTCTGTGTGATCTTCAGGAAGGTTTCCCTTTGGGGCCTCATTTTGTTTGTTCTGTGCTGGGGTGGAGCACAGAGCCTCGCATCTGCTAGGCAAGAACTCTGCCAAGGAGAGACACTTCCATCCCAAGCCTCATTTTTCTTTTCTTTTTTGGTGTTTTGACACAAGACAGCTTTGCGCCTTTCCTGAAGCTCACTCTGTAGACCAGGCTGGCCTCGAACTCACAGAGATTCTCCTGCCTCTGTCTCCCGAGTGCTGGAACTAAAGGCGTGTGCCACCACCGTCCAGCAAGCCTCATTTTTCTTAACTTACAGAGGAAGGTGACCAACTTCATGGTGGGCTGGGCATATTGGTATATGCCCATAAGCCCGGCACTTGGGGCGTACTGACAGAAGAATCAAAAGTTCAAGGTGTTTTGAGGCTAACCTAGGTTACATGACACCTTGTCTCAATATGAAAAAAAGGAGGGGTAGCTTTAGAGATTGTGTATCAGTTAAGAGCACTGGCTTTTCTTCCTTCCAAAGGACCTGGGGTCTGATTCCCAACCATCTGAACTCATTCCCAGGTCCAATGCCCTCTTCTGCAAACACCAGCTATGCATGTGATACAGACATACACACACGCATGCAGGCAAAACACTCATACACATAAAAAAAAATTAAAACAAAAAACAAAACAAAATAGCATATCTGCTTCAGGCCGAGTAACACAGTAAGCACTAAGTGGCTGACCCAGAGTGGACATCCCAGTGAGCATCAGTTGTCTCAGTATCCTTGGGAAACGTTTATAGGACGGGCTGGCTGAAAGAGACATCATGAGGCCCGGCCTAGACAGGGGCTTCTCTTCCAGAGGACGTGAAAGGGTTTCTGGGCCTTGATTTTCCTGTACATTCGGAGGGTGTGCCTATTCTCTGTTCCCACTGGGGCAGTGTTGAGAGTCGAGGAGACAGGGTTCCAGCTGCTCTCTGGGCTCCTACTCGTCCTCCCAGCTTCCACCATGCTCACTTACCAGCTCGCATGGGAAGTCCCAGCTTCAGAGCTCCATGGCGTAGGACATAGGACAGGGCCTTGGACAGCTGCACATCTCGGTCCTGAAAGAGTCCAGTGAGGATGGCCCTGAGCCCTGAGCCCTACTGCCAAGGTAGACCAGAAGAGCTCCCGTGGTCTCTGGGACCATTGGTCCTGCCGTCTTCCCACCAAGACACCAAGGCTCCGGTCCCCGCCCCTGCCCTGCCACTGTGGGGGTGAGGATGGAAAGAGGTGCACACCTGTTCCCGGGGCCTATGGGCCCGTCTACCTTCCTGTCTCCTTTCACCGGGGGCGTTCATGGCAAGACCTGTAGGGATCAGGGACGTGTGGCCACTCTGCCCATAAAGTCACAAAGGCTCAGGATGGGAGAACCGCACTGCTCATCCCACCCGGGAACCTCTGGTCCACACAAGGGAATGTGAGGTCCAGCTGGCGAAACTTGCCCAGGGTCACCCTGGCAGCCACGAGGCCCGAGGGATCCGGATCAGACCCCTCTTTCCGGAATCGGATCACGGATCTCCTGCCCGGATCTCGGGACTGGAGTATGAAGAGACAACCAAGGTGAGCCAGGCCAGCGCGTATCAGAAGCTCTCCACCGAGGAAAGCAAATCGCAGACCCGGACAAGGACTGGCCAATGGGAAGACGCGAAGGGAAGGGGCGGGCACTTCCGCTTGAGGGGAAAGAGGTGGAGCTTGGGGGGGGGGGGCAAGCCGACCGGTGAACTCCGAGATCCTGCGCGTCCAGGTTGGATGTAGGACTCCTGGTTTGGGGGCTACGAGCATTGGCGCTCCTGGTGCTGCGGGGCGGTAGGGATGCCCAAAGGTTTTACGGGTTTGGGACAGCAGGAGTCCAGGCGCTTGCTGGGCTCAGGACTCTTGGTGGGATGATACTCGCTGCCCAAGCAGTAAGTAGTCAGGGATCTGCAGGAGGGTCCCTGTCAGGATTTCTGTGTAAGAGAGGGTCACCTCGTCCCCTAGAGTGACAGGATGGCCGTCTGTGTCTTCCTCCAGGACTTCCCTGTCACGCCATGGACCCCGAGGTGTCCCTCCTGCTGCTGTGCCCTCTTGGGGGACTGTCCCAGGAGCAGGTAGCAGTAGAGCTGAGCCCAGCTCACGACCGTCGTCCACTGCCTGGAGGAGACAAGACCATTACTGCCATCTGGGAGGCCCGGCTGCAGACCCAACCCTGGATCTTTGATGCTCCTAAGTTCCGCCTTCACTCAGCCACCCTGGCATCCAGCTCACCTGGGCCACAGCTGCTCCTGCATCTGGGTCTCACTTCCTACCGGGACTTCCTGGGCACCAACTGGTCCAGCTCAGCCTCCTGGCTGCGGCAGCAGGGAGCTACAGATTGGGGTGACAAGCAAGCCTATCTGGCAGACCCACTGGGGGTGGGTGCCACGTTGGTCACAGCTGATGACTTCCTTGTCTTCCTGCGCCGCTCTCAGCAGGTGGCCGAGGCACCTGGACTGGTGGACGTGCCTGGTGGGCACCCTGAGCCTCAGGTAGAACGACTGGCTGGGCACAAGGGCACGGAGGAGTCCAGGCTCCTAGTTCTGTCCATCGCCTCTTAAAGGGAAAAGTGGCCTGGTGTTTCCGAGGCTGCAGCCTCCTCCCATGCTGTGGGCCCTGCTAGAGGACTGTCCAGGAGAAAGTATGGGCCCCGCTGAGCATAGCCCATGACTCTCACCACTCCGGAGAGGAAGGTGCTCCCTGCCATTTGGGAGACCCAGCTATAGATGTAGCTGAAACCCACCTATGGAAGCTAGGGATCATGGGAGGAGAGACTGAAGGGGAGGAGATGTTTTTTCCCACCTTATGTAATCCTTCCTAGCTAGACTTGATTGTTTATTTGGAATAGGAAGGCCTAGGTTAGGGGACTGCCAAGACTCCCACACTGAGTCTGCCCTAGGCACCCATGGCCAACAAAAGGAAAAGCAGTGTGGGAATCGGTGTAGATGAAGGCTGAGCCTAAATTTTTCACAGGCCCTGTGCCCTGGTGGCAGCCCCCAACACAAGGACCTCCCTGGGGAACTGGTGGTCCAGGAGCTCTTCTCCAGTGTCCTGCAGGAGATATGTGATGAGGTGAGTGACGGGGCCCCAGACATGATGGGCATGAGTGAGGGGTGGAATTAGATAGAAATCCACTGGCCTGGGCCGGAGTGAGGATCTGCATGAGCCCAGCTGGCATTGAGAAAGAGCATGGCATTAACGCTGGAGCCATGATTCCTTGGTCCTCAGATTCTTTCCTACAATGGAAACAATAAAAAATGTCTAGTCTGTTCCAATACTTGCTGAAAAAATAGCGTCTTGTTTACTGAGTCAACTTCACTTGGTAAAAGGACTTCCCTGGACAATGTGCTCCATTTCCCATCTGTAGGATGAGCATACCCAGAGCCTGTGTTTTGTGTAGTGGACACTTGGCTAGCAAAACAAAGACGTGCTGAGGGTCACAGGCCACTGAGGACTGAGGACGTAGCTCAGTTGAGCTGGTACACTGTTTGCCTAGCACAGTGGTTCTCAGTCTTCCCAGTGCTGCCACCCTTCATACAGTTCCACATGTGGTGGTGACCTCCAACCATACAGTGATTTCCGTTGCTACTTCATAACTGTAATTTTGCTAGTTTTTACAATTTCCATATGTTTGCTGTTATGAACCATAATGTAAATATCTGTTTTCCAATGGTCTTAGGTGGCCTCTGTGAAAAGGTTGACCTCCTAAGGGGGTCAAGACCCACAGGCTGAGAAACATTGGCCTAGCCTATCCAAGGCCTGGGCCTTGATCTTCAGTACTGTATAAAACAGGTACAGTGGTGCATACCTGTAATCCCAGCACTCAGGAGGTGAAGGCAGAGGATCAGAAACTCAGGGCCATCTTGGCTCAATATTGAGTCTAAGGCTAGCCTGAGCTACACGAGGCCCTGTCTCAACAAAAACAAACATATAAAACACCAAACCAACCAACAAACAACAACATCAAACCCAGGCCACTGAGGTCAGCCTGACGGGGGACTCCCTGCCACAGGTGAACCTGCCACTGCACACCCTGAGCCGGCCACTGTTACTGGGCATCGCTTGCAATGAGACCAGCGCGGGCAGAGCCAGTGCAGAGTTCTATGTCCAGTGAGTGGGCTCCGGGGTGCAGGACCCTGGGTGAGGCGGGTGGGGAAGGAGTGGGTTCGAGGCAACTGGAGTTCTGCAGGGTTCCTATAAGGTCTGGACGCCCACCAAGCCGCCCTCATGTTCTTGTCCAGGTGCAGCCTAACTTCAGAGGAGATTAGGAGTTACTACATGAATGGGGGACCTGAGGCCCACGAGTCTACAGGAATCATCTTTGTGGAGACACAGGTGTGGAGTTGAGGCTTTCAAGGTGGTCTGGTGATGGAGGAAAAGGACACCTGGGAGAGGCAGAGAACTCCCTGGTCTCCTAGTTTCCAGAGGCACAAAGCTTTGGCTCCTACCTCAGGGGCAGGAGTACTGAGGTTCAGCAACGCTGGACACAGTCCCAGTAGAATGGGGGGCCTGATGTCTGGGTCTCACTGATTTCCCGCAGAGGGTCCAGAGACTGCAGGAGACGGAGATGTGGACACAACTCTGCCCTTCAGCCAAAGGGGCCATCCTCCTCTACAATCGCCATCCGACTCTACAGTCGGGTGCTGGGAAGTCCCACCTGAGTAATGCTAGCGTCCCGGCCCTATCACTACAGCTCTGAAGACAATAAAGGACTTTTATTCTTGGGTTGCGTTGGCTTCTGCTGCTTCTCTGGAAGTCTGGGATCCTCGAGGAGAACCTGGGGTGGGTGAGAGGGGCTGAGCACGTGGCCGAAGGGGAACAAAACAAAAGGCCCCATAGCGCAGCCTCCGTGTGTCCCCCTCGTTTGGTGGACGTGGGCACGGCGCAGTGGAAGCGTCTCTTTGAACCGCGCCTCACTGCTGAGCGGGACGGGGCGGGAGGCCAGACTCGGCACCGGACCGGCAGACAGCGGTCCTTTCTGGAACCCCAGCGCTTCCGCTTCGCGGACTCTGGCGCCCTCGGCCAATGAGCGCACGGGGGCGGGCCCTTCGCTGCACGTCCTCCGCTTCCTGCCCAATTATCTTCGGCCAGAGCCTTGCGCCAATGAGAGCTCGGGGGCGGGGCCTGTGCGGGGGCAGGAAATGGCGGCGACCGCGGAGCCTGTGAGTAGGGGACGGAGGCGGGGCTTGGCCGTGGCTCCTCCCTCGCACGCCCCCCTAAGGCTGTAGGTGGGGAGGGGTGCCCCTGGTCCTGAGCTGGTGGTCCAGACCTGGAGGCCGGTGCTGGAAGGGTCAGGGCCCCAGCATCTGATTCTTAGTAAAAAGGCCTTTCCCGAATCTGCTTAAGTCTGCCTTTGTGGGAAACTGAGGCAGGCTCCTTCCCTCTGCCCCGACACCCGAAGTTCGGCCCACCTGGGACCCAATGCACCCTTCTTGGGGACCTCCCTTCCCCAGCTGCCCGCCCGCCGTCATCATGCCGTCCCCGTTGCTCCTGCTGCCCCTGCGCCTATTCCGGCGGTGGCCCCGCAGCTCTCCCACCCGACTTCTCACGGCCGCCGCGGGGCAGCGGTGAGTTGAGCTCCAGATCTCGGCCGTGTTCTGAGATCGTTGTCTCTGTGTTATATGTCAAGTGCCTTCAGAGGTTTGTCCCAGGTAACCCTCACCTTCAGTGCTGGACACTAAGCATCAAGAGTTAGGAGCAGAGCCCCAGGATTAGGTGAGAGAAGTGGCAGATCTGGAACTTGAGCTCAGGTCAAACCCAGGGCTCTTTCTGTAGTTCTGGTATGACGCCTCGCTTCACTGTGCATACTCTGGGGAAGGGGAGGGTGGGTACACAGATTTAGATTTCTGGGCTGGGATCTGGAGACGCCGGTCAGGAGGAATAAAGTGGAGGGTGGGAATCTGCCTTTTCCTTTGAGATGGAGTTTTCCTGTGATGCCCAGGCAAGGGTCCGAACTCAATCTCCAGAGTATCTGGAGTTCAGGCACAGCCACCATACCTGGCCTGGAAATCTTTTCCCTCAGTACTGGCACTGGAAAACAACCTCGTGCATGAGAGACCAGGAAATTTTTTTTTTTTTTTTTTTTTTTTTTTTTTTTTTTTTTTTTTTTTTTTTTTTTTTTTTTTTTTGTGATTCAGGGTCTCATGTAGTCTAGGCTAGCTAGCTGCAAACTTACTAATAGCCAAGGCATGACCTGAATTTCGGACTTTGCCTCCACCTCTCAAGTGCTGGGATTACAAGTGGACACCACCTTACATCAAAAACTGCTATTTAAAATACATTTTTAGGGGCTGGAGAGATGGCTCAGCGAGAGAGAGCACTTGCCACACTCACAGAGGACCCAGTGGTTTTTTTCCTTTGTTTTTCAGATTTATTTACTTATTATGTACAGTGTGTTCTGCCTGCGTGTATGCCTGCCTGACAGAAGAGGGCACCAGGTCTCATTACAGATGGTTGTGAGCCACCATGTGGTTGCTGGGAATTGAACTCAGGATCTCTGGAAGAATAGTCAGTGTTCTTAACCTCTGAGCCATCTCTCCAGTTTTGATCCCAGCATCAACATGACGACTCACAACCACACTCTTCTGACCTGTTGGGGGTACCAGGCATTCACGTGGTGCACATACCT